TAGAAAAGAAGATGGAAAATATACACACAGAAGATGAAAATAATTCGAGTGAAACTGGACTCGGGAAGGATATGGGACACATACGATACAAGGGAATTTAACTCGTATTTAAATCCATGGTACTATTTTTCGTCACACTAAAACAAAGAAACATACACCATTATACTTTCAACACGAAATTGTCTTACGAAAATAAGCCCCAAGATTTTAAATGGCATTTTAACTTGCAATTCCACCATATTGTACATCATTTTGAGTGAGGCACTCATTATTTTTTTCATATGTGAGAATCACTTAGGGTGTACGTGAAATGCACATAGAATTTGTGTATGTGCAAATCACGTGCGTTCCATTAAAAACCCAGTGAATATAAAAGAATATGGATGAACATAAAAGGACTTCCCGTTGATACATATGGGGTATCACGTAGACAACATGTAAATTTAACATAAAAGTGAAAAGAGAGACTCCACTTGATGTTTCACGCAACAATAACGTGTCGATTATTTTGAGTGTATAATAAAAACTTTGACAACTAGTAAATCTTGAATTCCGTAAAGTTATTGATTTTATATGCGCTGAATTTAAGCAAAGAAAGAGTATCATTTAAGACAGCACTGTGCTGCCAAACGAATGGCTCATGGCCCAGATTTCATGCTGAACATTGCATTAGGTCCTAAGTAACATTGATCGATTTTCTTCGTCGACTTTCTCTTTCGTTAATAGGTAGAACACAACATCGTTTCTTGTTGTGTTTGTCGTTTTAGATGCTAGATAAAAGCATCATTTATCGTTCTAACGGCGCCGGTGGTGTAGTGGTAAGCGTGATTGCCTCTCACCCCAGCAGGCCTGGGTTCAATCCCAGTCGGCGCCGCCGGGATGTTCTGAGGCATAACATCTCTGATCACGCCTTCCTTCGGATGGGAAGTAAAGCCGTTGGTCCCCGGTTCATGAGTTGATGGGTCGATAGGTAGGGTCCAGGTGTGGGAGCTGCCTTCCTGGCACGTCGGTAGCATTGGTGCTCAGCACGGAAAACAAGATCGACGGAAAAAACAAACCAAAGGAAAAAAAAAAAAATTTATCGTTCTGTCAGATAAAAATTCATGGGAATGTTGACGAAAAAAATCTGTCAATGAAACTTAGGACCTAATGCAATTGTTTTGTTTTCTGGATCGCAGATCGCATCCAATTTGTGAATGAATATTAGCCTAGAAGGAATGAGCAAAAACAAAATGCATCTTGAAGTATGCACCTACATCAAAAGCCATTAAAAAGCAAGTTTAGAACGGTTGGTCAGGCCTGATTTAAGAGAAAGAAAAATAAATCTCACGATACTTTCAAATTTTGGTTCGAAGAAATGTTTATATGGATAATTGTTGTTCTTTATTATTGACATTTTACATCCTGCAGATGCATTCATGTCCATTACCATTGCCGACCATGCCCATCTTCTCCGTTACGGGAAAAGGAAGTATATAATAATGAGATCTCCTCTCAGGATATCATAAAAAAATAATTTATTTCACTAATTATTCACTTAACCACATTACTTAAAGCTACTAACGATCTGAATCCTAACAACTTCTATACCGAAAAGAGAGTGATCGATTGGTCGCTCGGCTATTTGTTAATAAAAACTGCTGACAGGACAATTCGTTGGGCTCTCGTGTGGCGTTGGACTCTGCTCGATGGCGTGACATCATTATTGCTGACTTGTTGCTATAGGTGGTGGTGATTGGTCCGGGCTATCTCATAACTATATTGTTGATGTAACTACTACTTAACGGGAGGCCATTGACTCACCGACGACGCCCCCATAGATGCTACGGAGTTGGATAGTTGGTTAGGAGATGGGTCAGGCTTCGATGACGATGCGACCACAGTAATTGTTTTGTTTTGAATGAGACTGGAACTCATCCCAAGGCAAAACCGGCAGTCACCAAGCTAACCGAACTCCTCAATTTAAATTTTAGGACCTTATTTGGTAAAGTTTTAATAAATTGCTTGACGGGGGATGAATATGAAATGGTCCAGCCTGTGGTAGAGCTTGTTTGAGTGGTTTTCTCCCTGCGTTTGGAATTAAAGATTTTAGGATAAAGATGTATTTTCAAATGCAAGAACCTCACTGCAAATTGATTCTTATTGACGCGATCGTGCCAAACGAGGCAGTTGCTCCAAATTCAAACTTGAACTCACTAAGTGATTTTTTTTCCTTGATTTGTTTTCCGTACTGAGTACCAATGCTACCGACGCCAGGGAGGCAGCTCCCACACCAAGACCCAACCTATCAAACCATGAACTCATAGACCGGGGACCAACGGATTTACTTCCCTACCGACGGAAGGCGTGATCAGAGATTTTATGCCTCAGAAAATCCCGGCGGCGCACAGTGGGACAAAAAAAAAGAGGGACATGGCCATCTATGACGAAACTATTGAGTGTAGCCTTTTGATGTCTTCCAGAATGTTTTTTCATTTTTTAATACTTTATTGTAGTGGTAAAAAATACTCGCACTACGATAAAAAAACGACTTTTTATGTCTTGTTAAAATTGATAATCATCTATGGAAACATTGTAAACAAAGTCATTTTAAGAAACTTTGTCGTAGACGTAAATTTTCTATCTCTCAAGTGGACGAAGTTATAGGGTGAAAATGGAGTACAAACAGTAGTAATCTCTTAAAAACCGTTGGTTATACCATAACTTTTTATTTTAAATTTTCAATTTTTTTCAATCTTCTACAAAGTTGTAAGTGCTCTACTACTGCATATTTTTGATCCTTGAAACAATTCGCTATCTCTTTTTTTTAAAGGATTTAAGTTCCTTTTTATAACTTTTTAACGCTATTACTATAAGCATCCGAAGGATCGAAGACAAATTTTCCAAATCGATATCCAAGTAAGATTACCTCGGGTGGGTCCAAACAAGAATCGAAGAGTTAAGCAAGGTAGAAATTTTACAGGATGAGCACTAAAAGGTGCTGTTTAAATTTGTTGTAGCTAGAGGTAGCAGTAACACTTCCTTCAGCAACAAGAAAATAGATCCGCACGGCAAGAGAGCACGATGCGGACTGAAAGATCTGTTTGAGGGCAGTTTGGCTTTCCTAGACCACCCCCTCAATACTGCCAATGTGACTTCCATCTGTCCCCACGAACGCCCATCATCTGACTCCATCCCAGTAGTGGTTGGTGTTCTTTGTTATGGCCATTGCTCGGATTGCTCGATTAAGCTCGTAAATGTGTGCTTGTGCCGCTGGGAAAACTAAATAATGATGTTGCCGCGTGGGCAAGTCAGTTTTGCTAATACCATGCACGCCCGGATAGGTTTATTATGGAAATGTTTAGTTCTGATTAAAATTTGCATAAATTTCAGTTGGGTTTGCTCGTAATTGCACGAAGCTAAAATCGATGAATAGTTAATATTGGGATTTGCTCCACTATCATCAGGAGAATCATTACATTGCCTCCATGTGGGGCCGAAGCCATTATGTTTACAAGTGACTGGACATGATATGGCTAATGTAGTATAAACAGTGCATGAAAATGTTCGTTTATGATTACTTAATTTACCAATCGATATGTGCACAATTTCCAAAAGTCTGTTCCATTCAGCCAGTGGTTGATGTTTGCCAGAGCGGCATTTATGCACTTTCATGCTCATCATTATATTGAATGAATTTCATTATCATTTGGAATGGTCGTTAAAATTGTTCTGGACCTTTCCATTGTTGGCGTTTAGAGCAAAGTGGGGTACTTAGTTTTAAAAATCATGTATCTCTTTAGTAACAGCAAATTTCAATTGATAACCGTCAGTAAATTCTCTGACTATTTGTCCACAATCCCTTATGGTTTGCTATTTTAAAAATTATGGCATTTTTCATAAATTATTGATTAAGGAAAACGGTGCACATTTTATTAATGTTTCAAAAACGTCTATTTTAATTGAATTAATGGTTCATAAATGAATAAAAATTCAAAATTAGACCTGATTTCGTCATTGCACTAATGCATACTAATTGAAGATTAAAAACATGTCGTACCAACATTTTTTTTCAAAATCGCATCGATTTGAGTTCTATCGTCTGAGTTGGTTGGAAATGCTTTCTAATATGAAACTTTTTAATGTTCCGTTAGAGTACGGTAGACCTTAGGGAAAACTATCTACGTAGGTAATGAACAGTCCCTTAAATGTGCCACTTGATTCCGATAATAAAAACTCACAAATATTTAACAATTATAACGATTTAAAAAGTGAATTAGGACTCCTACTTTTCAAATGCGTGGAATGTGAAATTAGGCGCAAAGACGTAATGAAAAACATTTTTAGCAAGGTTATGTATATAGGTTATGGTTAGGCAAAAGGTGTGCGTTTGACTTTGTACTGTCGCATTAATGGCCCTTCGCTTATTTTCAACTTCTATTAAAAAGCTTCATGTTAGATAGCATTTCCAACCAACTATGAAAATCGCAAACTTTGCGTATGAAGTAACATAAAAACACTTTGAACACTATCGTCTGCTGATAAATACCATAAAATGCCAATCATATAGATAAATCATAATACTGGAATACTTAGGTTTGAATCTTCATCTATGATATCGTAATACCGCTTCCAAAAAATTTTAATTTTATACTAAACTATAAAAAAAATTGCATACTTCTAGAGATGACTTTTTGGTGGATTATTCAAAATACACAATATTTTTCAAGTAAGCTTGTTTTCAGTAGAGGCTTCAATCCAATTCATAATGATTGGTCCATCATTTCGTTTACCTGCCTCTCAAACCAGTGCATACTTTTGCCTCCTGCGTACTATTGCCCCACTTTACTCTACTGCTGGAATATTAATTTAATGAAGCTCTGAATAATTAATTTTATCGCAAATAGGAAAGATTTTTTGATGTACAATTGAGAAAAACTAAAAAGCATTTTATTTTATTTCATTGAATTTTTTTCCTGAAATCAATATTTGAACCGACCGTTTATTCTGTTTATTTACAGAACCAAACCCGCAACAACAGCCGGCCGATCCGGAACCGGAATTCGAAGGCACAATTCAGAACGTAACATTTCCGGCTGGCAGAGAGGCAGTGCTTACATGTTCGGTGAAAAATCTGGGCCGCTACAAGGTAGGCTGGCTGCGAGCATCGGACCAGACGGTGCTGGCACTGCAGGGTCGTGTAGTGACACACAATGCCCGGATCAGCGTGGTGCATGAGGACACGCGGACATGGCGCCTGCGGATACGACAGCTTCGCGAATCGGACCGTGGCTGCTATATGTGTCAGATCAATGCCAGTCCAATGAAGAAGCAAATCGGATGCATCGATGTACAGGGTATGTATTCGAGCAACCGTGAGTGCTTTATTGACGCTGGGTATTCGTATATTCATGATGTTTAATTGGCGTGCTTTTCCGGTAATACTCAATTGTATCTCTACCATCTGATGACATACTGATTTGGTAGATATAGCTAGGATAGATATTTTTGTGTCTTTTAATCGCAATTAGATATTTGATTCCCTGTTGTACATACAGATACAAACACTGAAACTTGAATATGTCTGCAAATTTTAATACTGACAAATCAACAGCGTTGTGTCCGTATGCAGAATGGTTTATAAATCACTACTTTTTTTTAATAGTTTTCGACAATCTAAAAATTTTCATCTGAAACTGTAGTGTTGGCTATAAAAATGAAAATGACCTAGTGAGCTATTAAAAATTTCAAAAAATGGTTTTCTCTGAGAAATCACTTCAGATTTAAAAAGATTCTCATCGTTTTGTCCAAAAAATAAAAGGAAAACATTTAGCAATTTGAAGTAATGTCTCAGAGAAAATCATTTCTGAAATTTTTAATAGCTCCCTAGGTCATTTTCATCTTAATATTTAACGCTACAATTTCAGATGGGAAATTTCAGATTGTCGAAGTGTATTAAAAATTTCGTGATTTATAAACCATTCTGCATTCAATGCACTAAGCTATTGTTTTGTCAACCATTTATGAAAGGCTTATAGTTATTATTACACCTTTTTATTCCGATTTGATGTAAGATTTGAATGGTATAAGCATAGACCATTAGAATTCACGTACATGAATATTGTTTCTGTGATGCTAAGATGAACAAACATGTTTGCAAACAAACAGATTGTATATAATGCAAAAAAAATACATAAACGTGCCAAATTGAAGGCATATGTGGACATTAATATAAGAACACTTTAAAAACCATTGCTCCTCCTAGTTATACGAATCAGACAAATTATAAACCAGATGTGTTTGAAAGCCACATAATTTTGCAACAGTTTTCACTCGGCTGTTGACAAAAGCAGGCCACTCTCGATGTATGCCACGCGATCATCTATTTTCTCGGCAGCAACCATTGTGTGGTTCTCTTCATTGTTCTTCATCAGCAGTTCTTTCGGTCGATGCGTCGTCGACTTTGGAAAGCAACCTTTTCGTGATGAATGTGTAAGTAGGTACTGACCAAGTTTTGCTTCCATTACTGCAATGGTTTGTGTTGTACCTTTTGACTATAGTTTTACGATGTATTGTATAGTGACCAAGAATCATCGGATCTGTAAAGTTAATTCATTTGAGCCTTATCAAATAAATTAATATACAACAATGTTTTTGCAACAATATGATCCAAAGAAAGAATGTATTTCCTCATGCGTACAGTAATTGAAATAAATGAAAATGTGATTTCTTCCTCCGTTAATAATTATATGGACACCATACAAAAATGTAATGGCAATTGTTCATTTTTGAAGCATGATTTAGCATGTAAAAGTTATTGTGGCACCAACATAATCGAATATTTATCTATTTTATGATATTTATTTGTTCGTCAACAGACGAAAGTGTTAGTTCAAATAATAATTAAACGTGATTTTTGCAAAGTTTTAAGCAGTTCTCAAATTTCACCAAAATCATTGGTTGATCATCGATGATCACCTTGGAGATACATTCATTTATTCGTTTCCCGGGCTAGTTTCTGTGTATCCATGTCGATTAAATTCGAATATTCTATAAGTTCTATCAATCGGAGCTTTGCTATAATCAAGTTCAATGATTATTTGAACTAACTTATTGTTTATTTTGGTGCCAGAATATGATTCGAAATTGACTAATTTTTCGCACATGGATCAATTTCTTTTAATGATTAAGCAATGGAACTGAAATAGCCAAAAAGTTAGTTCAAATAATCATTGAACATGATTTTCGCAAGTTTTTGCGGGAATCCAATCGGTTGAAGTTAAATAATAAATTATTGTAACTGACATGGATACACATAAACTAGCCTGGGAAACGCCTAAATATACAGGGTGTCTGGTTCCGGGGTTTACATATTTTCAGGGTAGATAGGGCTCCTAAAGTTATGAAAAAATCATCAAGAAATATAGGGTCGGAAATGACTGCTAAGTGAGTTATTTAACATTTTATGTTTTTTTTTTTTTCCAAATTGTGTTAGCTATATTTTTTTAATCTTATTATGGTATTCTGAGTTCAACATTTCAAATGAAAGATTAAAGTCTTAGCTATCAATGCTCCACAGTAAAGAACTCGATAAAAGTTAATTATCATACATTAATATTGAAAAGTATGTTGAAAGTACCAAAAAAACTGGTGAAATTTCATACATTTTAGTGTTTTTAAGTTGAAAATTTTCAAAACTGTTAATTTAGTTGTTCTACAAAACATTCTCCATGCAGTTCCCTAGATTTGTGTCTTTGGTAGTAACCTTGTAGGCTTTATGGTTTCCTCGTAATTATTGATTTAAAACAGCCATAAAAAATTGAGAAGTTTTCTTAAAATGCGCTATGGTCACCCTATTCGTTCGTACGTTCGGCTGTTGCAGTGGACTACGCACATGAAAATTTGGTAGAATGTTATTGTAAATGTTGAGCTACATTCTTAACTTTCGATTACCGCATATTGCTCAGTCTAAGCAGAAAACACAACGAGAGACACCGAATCGGCGAATTCTTTGAGCGGAAGGGAGAGAAGTAGGTAGTGGTAATAAATCGATGTCCCTTTTATTTCATAGCACTCACAGCTCAGCTGGTGCTGATTCGATGGAGGAGTATGCAACTCCGCTGCTTCTGTATACACACTTAGATTTTTTTACAGGAGTCAGTATTTTTACTGGGTTTTTGGATTACTGACTCGGTTAAAATTCAAATGACTGTTATTCGTAAAGATTGGATAAAATCGATAAATTTTATTTTTCATCATTACACGGGGTTAACAAAAGTTAGTCTGTAAATTTTCGTAACACATTTTCTCAACTTTGAATTTTTGACAGATTTTTTAAATTTTACCGAAGAGTTCCGCAATTCAAAAACTCGGTAAAAATTACTAACTCGATAAGTGTGTACTGATGTATGGTTGGTGAAGAGGCTAGCATCTGGAGGGTATTCTCGGGCTAGTGAATGCCATCCATCCCCACTTATAAGTCAGTAATACCAACAATCAATACGAAACTAACGATTTTAGATTGGCTCACTACTTGACTAGCCTATTGGTCAAAAGCAAACGATTAACGTACCCCATTCTAGTCGAAATTCTACTACTACAAAATGTTTGTTTTGATTCGCTATGAAAGTTTGACTGATAAAATGAGGGGTTAGTGGAATTACATATGTTTCGAGGGGTGAATCGATTAGCTTGGGACCGAAGAGAGTACCAGAGCTGAGCCAAAAAGTTGAGCACGTTATTTCGGGACCTTCTAGTCTTAGAGTTACCTCTATGGTAATACGCTATTTATTCATTTCTGTTTGATATGTTTACAAAGTTTGACAAACAGAAATGTGATGTAGGTACACCGGTAATTCAGGGTTGAAGGCAGCTGATAAATAGCGGTGGGTGGATGGTACCATCCATCGCATAAATGGAGGGATTACTGTAGTAGATTTCAAAATCATAAAATTGCAAATCCAACTCATGTGATCCAACTTTCCTCATGTACCAACATCAAACTTCAAAGTACTAACGTAGGAGTACAACGGTCAGCGGCACCGGTGGTGTAGGTGTTAGCGTGATTGCCTCTCACCCCAAGCAGGCCTGGGTTCAATCCCAGTCAGTGCCGCCGGGATGTTCCTTCAGAAGGGAAGTAAAACCGTTGGTCCCCGGTTCATGAGTTGATGGGTCGATAGGTAGGGTCCATGTGTGGGAGCTGCCTTCCTGGCGTCGGTAGCATTGGTGCTCAGCCGGAAAACAAGATCGACGGAAAACAAATCAAATGAAAAAAATTAATACAACGGTTCTACAATCATCTCTCCCACAAGATAATATTCGAGGGAAAAATCGACCACTTTTCATCTGGAAGCACACGCACAGCTCAAACAAAGGCTGTGCATTGCGCTATTAGTCATACACTCGGTTGTTTAGAGAGCAAGAGAGCACACAAAAATTTGAAAGACGTACAATGTGGGTAGCGCACAAACAGTGCTCAAAATCAGCACAAGATAAACTCATTCCTTTATAAACAGATTAAAAATCAATATAGACATAAGCAACATTTTAGATGTTAGTTCCGATGTTCGGAATAAACGCAGCGCCGACATCGCGTCTGACCATCACCTTCTAATCGGTGAAATCCGCCTACGCATGGCGCAGATCCAGCGACGGGAGGAGAGACTCGGGCGGTGGTTCAACACACGCCGACTTGAAGATCCAGCGGTAAAAAGGTCTTTTGTTGAAGAACTTGAGACTCGAGCTGCGGACGTTCCAGAAGGTGGCAGCGTAGAAGAACAATGGACGGCCATCAAGAATGCCTTTATAGAAACAAGCGAGAACAACTTGGGTGAGCTGCGCACCCAGAGGAAAGAGTGGATCACATATGGCGGAAGATTGAGGAGCGTAGAGAAGCAAAAGCCCGCGATAGAGCGGGTGACCCGAGCAAAGTCGGTTAACAAAATGAAAGCAAATCGATATTAAAGTTTGCAGTTCCTATCATAATGAAAACTCATTTTGATTTCAATTGTCGCGACAGAAGTCTGATATCATACTGTGCTTTTATTATGCAGTCAAGACTTTTTAAATCAAAGCAACTTAACTTGAAGTTCTGCTGTTAATTTCTTGTTTAAAATTTAATTTAAATTCATCTGTCGTTGAACCAACGATTATTGTTTATTTATTTTGTTTAACCCATTTTAGGCCATTCATGACTAGCCCGAGGTGACATTTGAGCTCAAATCTTTCAGCGTGAGAAGCATGGATGGTAACGATTTACGACAGGCCCGTATTCAGTAAAACATTATGAATGCAAAATCAGTAATCAAATTGATTTCATTGAAAGCAGAATTAGTTTTCCGTTTGATTCAACAGTGTA